CAGATAACCCTCGAGCTCACTGTACTAGAATGCTTTGAAGAGTAGATGAGGGGCTACCTGTGTCAATCCTTGGAACATGTATATTCTCAGCAAACCTCATGTGAACATGAATCTCATTTCTTCTGCAGAGGATAATTGCCACAAACCATTTTCATGGTATAATAAACCAAAAGGACCCTGAAAGATTACCTCGCTTGTACATAGCTTACAGCTGAGATCTCTTAAAGTCAGAGTAGTTAAGTGACATGGTCTATCAGTGACAATGACAAGCCAGAAACCAAGTATAAAATGGTTTACGTGTTTCCAGGCCTGAACTCTCTGAAACTTACCATACATATTCCTGCCAAGTGAATCCTCTTAAAATAAAATTCATAGCATTTCTTCCCCTGATCACAAGCCTTTGGTGACTATAGATGGCCTGGTAAGTAAAGTAAATTGTCTCATCCTGCTACTCACAGTCCTCTAACACTTGTCCTGAAATCTTCCTTCCTACTTGTTCTGCACTGTTCCCCTCCACAAAGTCTGGGATTCACCAACTAGGTTATTTGCCATACTGTGTACATGTTACATTGTGAACTCTGTGTACATGCTACATTGTGAACCCTAGTATCTAGCCAGATGCCTGGCTCAAAAGCTCAATGAGAGTTTGTTGAAGATGGTGGGCATTCTTCATTATGATAAATATAACAACAGTGACAAAAATAATAACAACAAAATGGTAATGATAACAGTAAGTCACAGTAAAATAAAAATCATAGGCATCTACTAAGCCATTGCTCAATAGCCACTATGCTGCAAATTTATTATCGCGACTAAACCTTACAGTAACCCCATCATACAGATACTATCCTTATTTCATCTTATGAATAAGAAGACCATGGTTCAGAGAGATTGAGTAGCTTCCCTGGTATTGATTGGTTGACTCTTTCAACCAATAACATTCAACCAATGTTATTGAGGGTCTCCCATGTGTCAGGCTCTGTTCTAGGGGTTGGCTGTAACTTACATCATTCTCTTTGTAAACAGGGTTTTTACCTTCATGGAGCTGATAGTCTAGTGGCAGAATACAGACACCCACTCACCAAATAAATGAGATAAAGTAAGAAAGTGGTAAGTAATCAAAAGGAAAATAAAGTGGGGTAAAGAGATCAACGGTGATGGGATTGCTATCTCAGACAGGAGTGTGAGTAAAGGCTCCTGAGGAGATAACAGCTAACTAGAATCCTGACTCATGAAAAGGAGTAAGCCATTAAAGACCTGCGGGAAAATGTTTCAGGCATGGGAAATGGTTAGTGCAAAGGCCCTGAGGCAAGAGTGTCCTCAGTCTGTTTAAAAACAGTAAGATTGCCAGTGTGTTTACAGGTAAAAGAAGGTGAGAGCCAGGAGGCTGTGCATATTCAGATCATGCTGAGCATTGTTGGCATGATATAGACTTTGGCTTTGCTCTGACTCAAAGGGGAAGCAATCGGAGTGTTAGAGCTGAGAAGTGACAGATCTATCCTGAGTTTTAAAAGGATTTCTCTGGCAAGGGTGTAGCCAGTAGTGAGATCAGTTACGGGAATATGAAAGTCATACATGTGAGAGATGACAGAGGGGTGGGAGGAGATTGGGTTCTGATGGACTGGATGTGGAGTATGTGAGGAAGAAGGGAGCCTAGAAGTAGCCCAAGGCTCTTGGCCTGAAGAATCAAAAGAAGAGAGGGAAAGTCTGAGAGAGGAGCAGACTGGGGATTGAGGAACTCAGTAATTCATACATATAAAGTGTGAGATGCCTGTGAGCCACACACGTGGGGAGTATGGGTTAGTTGACAGCAGGATATACTTGCCTTTAGTTCAATGAAAAAAACAGGCATAGAATTTTATATCTCAGGGTTATCAGAACTGGATGGCATTTTAAGTCATGAGATGGGATGAGATCATCTTAGGAGTGAGTGTGGAGAGAAGAGGAGGGTGTGAGTATAGAGAGGTCAGGGAGAGGTCAGGGAGAGTGCTCCAGTGTAGGAAGATGAGGGGTGAAGTAAGGCAACAGAGACTGAGAAGGAGCAGTCAGCCAGGTAGATAAAGAACCAAGAGATAATGTGTCTGGGGGGTAAAGATCAGGGCAGTGACCATTTGTATCAAACGCTGCTGATAGGTCAGATAGAGCCGGGGCTAAGAATTAACCTCACACTTAGCAAAGTGGAGGGCACTACATACCTTGACAAGACCAGTTTCGGTGCTTACTGCTGGGTTGATTCCGAAGCCAGGTGTGCACAGCATTAACCATGTGCCACTGGTCCCCTACCTTTGCATACAAGTGCCCGAATTGTCTCCTTAGGCCTACATTCCCTTCATTTCCTATAACTCAGCTCATGTGCTCCCTCCATCACGGAGCCGTCGCTATTTCCTCTAGGCAAATTTAACTCCAATAGCATTTACCTTATTTTAGAATTATTCATGGGTGACTATGAATGGATGAGTACTTGGATTAATAAGAATACGCTATTTACATCAAGCACAAGGTCTTGGGAGATGCACAATATATATTTTTCGATTTAAAACTTCATAATCCTCTTTGGTCTATGAAATGGACTCTGGCCCATGCTCAGTGACCTCCCTCTAACCTGCCATGCCCATCTCTTCTCCAGCCATTCAATCGTTTCCTCATTCATTTACTCTAAAGTTGCTATTGGGCACAACGTTCCCTAGAACTATAAATGGTCATGACCCAGCTCTGTCACTAATTCTGTGCCTCTTGACCCTGCTGGCTTAGAGTTGAGGAAATCAAGACATGGTTTAAAGCACAAGCTAGAATACTGGGACAGGATTGTTTTGGATAATCAAGCCATAAAACTAGGGCACTTGTGGAAAGCAGTAGGTTTTATCAAGTTATGAAGATTCTTGCATGCCAAGCTCAAAATGTGTGGATCCACGGTGTCTGGAGTATCTTGGAGGGGCTGGAGGGTGGCAAAAGGAAGTGCAACCAGGTGGTGGTGAGGGTCTGAACTGGGAAAAAGAAATGAGGCCTGCATGCCTGTGCTTCAATGGCACCTTTGTTAGGGACAGTCTTTCACACACTGAGTCAAGTCAACACCCACTCTGCTCCCCAGGTGGTGGTGAGGGTCTGAACTGGGAAAAAGAGAAGAAATGGGGCCTGCATGCCTGTGCTTCGATGGCACCTTTGTTAGGGACAGTCCTTCACACACTGAGTCAAGTCAACACCCACTCTGCTCTAGGTGCCTAGTCTATGCTAGGGACGTTACCTGCATGTTGGGAATATGGACAGTATCAGGCAGAAGGTGGAGGCATGGGGGTGTGGCAGCAGTGGAGGCAAGAAGTACACACCTAAATGCAGTGTGATGTGTTGGCTGGAGGTATAAACAGGGTGCTAATGGGGATGGAGGCTGAACAGAGGAATCTGAGTACGCCAGATTTCTTCTCTTTGCCTCTCCAGATCTACTTCTCCACTTTGTTCTCTGAACAGGCCTCCAGGGGGCTGACTTGCATGGATCACATCAATAGATTTCCTTGTCCTTGGCTTCTGGCTGCCAAGAGGAAAGGGGAGAGCGAGGGCACAGAACTGATTCCCTTCATCCTCAGGAGGTTAACCTTGAGTTAGCTGTGTCTCTCAACTAAGAGTCACTGCTCCTCTCAGTGGTCTATTCTACAAGACTCTCTCCTTCTGGCTTCTGGTTACTTTTCTCTCCTCCTAGGCCTGACTCGCAACATTTCTGCTGTTATACTCTCCTGTGGTTCCCTTAGACCCCAGCCAAACCTTTGTAGTTAATACTTTTATCCTAGTTTGACTGTATCTCCCTTTATTGTCGGGACTCTTCACTGATATAGTGGTCTTTTAAAACAAGAATTTGCAATTCTTTGGGACTTAATTCTCTAGTAAACCGTGAGCTCCTCCATGAGGATCATGTCTTGTTAATCGTAGCTCTCTCTCTTCCACTTCCACTGTCTAACAGAGTTTCCATTCGTAGTGCTTGTTTATTAATTGTTTGTTAAAAGACATTGATTTCTCTACAGTCACAGCCATTCCTTCGACCCTAGCTGATCATGCGCGGCCCTGTCCCCAATATTCTCCTCTCGGTCCTCACCCCAGACAGGGCTACCCAGGGAAGGGGTCCAGCTCCACGTTCCCCTTTCATCTTCTGGCTGTTCTCACCTCATTGTTTCGCAATCAAGATTCCAAATGCCTTTTCCTAGAGTCTTTTCCTGCTCGATACCCTAAAATTTACAGTCTCCACGTTAATGTCAGATGCATGTGACCTCAGAAAAGACCCTAAATCTCTCTCTACCATTATTTCCAAGATTGCAAAATCAAGATAAAACTAATTCTAACTTCATAGAGTTGCTGGGAGAATAAGAACAAATGCGATGTCCTGTAAAATCTATTGTCTTCTCCATGAAATATATCAGTGACTATAAAGAATAAGCAAGTTCTCTCCACCCCCACCCTACATTTTTGGACTGGTTTCCATGATTTCCATAAACACTTCATTAACACACTGAGCAAAATTGTAATAACAACTGACATCTCCTGAGCACTTACTCCCTGCCAAGGCACTTTATGTATTATTTCATTTAACCTCCACAAGAACCATATGCGATAGAATCTATTTTATTCCCATTTTATGGATGAAGAAGAATAAGGGTACAAAGAGATGACGTAACCTGCCCAAGGTCAGAAGCCAGAATTGAAATCTAGGAAGCTTGACCAAAAGCCATGCTATTCATCTTTACTTATGTAGTCTCATTTGTTTACATTCCCTGTGACACATGTAAAGACAAATCATAAAACTGGCAATTGGCCACAGTTAATGAGATATCATGTGGAAATTACTAAGTGATTAAAAATAAAGTTTGCACTCTTATGGAAATTCTTATAAATTATTCTTCAGCTCAGGTGTAGCACTCCAAAATTCAAACTTAATCAGTTGTGTTTGGTTAGCCAAACTGCAGTCTTAACACGTCAATGTCGTCAAGGTGCTAGTAGTGTTCCAGCCTGAGACTCACCTGAACTTAGCGCATGCTCCACATCCCGCATGATGACCCTTTTGGGGGCGGTGGTGGTCTCCATGTCTACCAGAATACAGGTCACTTTGGCTGGCACAGTTGTTTGGGGTATTGTCTCCGTGGGCAACAGCTCTGAGGTGGCATGTGAAGTGGGGGTGTAGCCAGAGCTGTGCTCCTCTGCTGGGGACTCTGGTGTGGTTGGAGATCCTGTGGGCTTGGTGCTGTTCTCAGCAGAGCTGTGGTTGGTGCCGACGGAGACAGAAGAAACCTCTGGTGGTGAGGTTGACAAAGGTAAGGGTGATGAGGCTGGAGCCTGAGGGGAAGTGAGCGCAGGGGACTCAGTGGGGAGCTGCGACCCTGTAGCTGGCACACTTGCCTCGGGAGTGCCTGAGCTGTGTTCCGTGGGCGTGGGTGTTAAGGGGACCCCGCCACTTGTTGATAAAGGGTCTGTGTTTGTACCCTCCCAAGTCAAGGTTGGGCTGGTGGTCTCCTGTTCTCCGGGCTCTATGGAAACATTCTTGGGGAGTAGCGATGTCTGCACTGATGCCGCTGTAACTGGAAGCACTGAGTTGCTGCGCGTGCCACTGGTGGGGAAGGCAGGAGGGCTTTGTGAAGAGCTCGTCCAGGTGGCTGTCGTAGGGGTAATCTTTGCCGGAAGAGAAACAGGCAAGAGGGATGTTGTAGGCACGCCCTGTACCCTCAGTCCTGTGGAAGAACCAGAATAAATTGGTCAGTGTGTGTAACCTGAGAGGCAAGGCTGTCTTATAGCATTTTCACAGGTCTTTCTCGGTTTGCATTGTGCCTCCCCAGTTGTGACTTTTAAATATTTTCTTCCCACTACTTGCTCTCCCCTCCCTTTGCGGCTATCAGTAGGAACCAGGCTGAAGGCTCAGTAAGAGCATTAGAGGTTCAATGTAAGTCCAGCCAATCCATGTAATGGACTAATCTTGTCTCCTGCTTGCTTAAAACCATACCCTTAAAAAGTGAAACTCTCTGGCTTTGTGGGAATTTGTTTAGGCTGCTAAGGGCCCTGTGCCTGTGGGGATCCACATGCCTGTGGGGGATGCCCAGGGCCTGTGGTGGGAGTGGGGAAGGCATGGTCAGTGAGTGGAAAGGTGGAGGAGGTTACTGATTGGCGGGGTTCTCTGTCAGAGGAGCTCAGTGATTGGCTGTTCCCTGTCCCAGGGTCATAAGCTCTGCGGTTTAAGCACCAGGATACAAGAGCAATAGGCTTGCTGGCTGGGACGAGTAAAGGTGTGAGCACATTCTTTGCAGAGGAGGAAAGGCAGGAGGTTCCAGAATAAAAGCTGAAAGGAGGATCTGAGGTTTGGATATATTTTCTGAGGCTGGCACCTAATTCTTCCACATTATAGCCTGGGGTCTTTAAGATCATGTTATTTTGCAAAATGTTCTTTATATTTTGTCAAATTTAGAATTACTTTTCTTCCTCCTCCCCTCTCTTCACTTACCCATTCAGTTTAATTAATTAATTAATTCAACTATTTAATAAATAGCTTCTATGTGCTAATACTCTGCTAGATACTGGGTTTATGATTTCACTTTTTATATAAAGCATCCCTGATGGCCTCCCCGTGCCCCTTACCATTCCCTAATTAGCTTTTCCTTAGTCATTTTCACCTCAATGGATGACTCCCGCTTTCACTGTTGCTCAGTGAAAAACTGAGACATCACCCCTCACACCCCACATCAAATCCATCAGGGAATCATGTTGACACTATCTTGAAATGTATCCCAATCCAACCACTTTTCATCACCTCTCCCATTATCTACACATCACCTGAGCCACAAGTCACTTGCCTAGACAACTGCCATGGTCTCTTAATTGGTCTTCGGGCTTCCAGATTTCCTCCCTTTCAGCCTACTTTTCACACAGCAGCCAGTATTCTCTTTTAAATTGGTAAATGAGATCGTGTTCTTTAACGGACCAAAATTCTCCAAGGGCATTCTCTTGCGCTTAGAACAAAATCCCAAAGTAATCCCCTATGTTGTCCCATGTTCTCATGTTCTGGTCGGTCTCTACTCAAATGCCACCTCCTCCTCAGAGAAGTCTTCCAGATGATCCTAACTAAAACCATTTTTTACTCTAGCCGCTCACTTATTATTTTTTTTAAGATTTAAATTTTTTAAATTGCTAAAATATACGTAATATAACATTTACTGTTTTAACCATTTTAAGTGTATAGTTCAGTGGCATTAAGAACATGCGCTTTATTGTTCAACCATCACCATCATCCATTTCCAAAACTTTTTCTTCCTCCCAAAAAACTCTGAAACCATTAAACAATAACTTTCCATTCCTCTCTCTCCACAGCCCCTGGAAACCACTATTCTACTTTCTGTCTCTATGAATTTGCTCTAAGTACCTCATGTAAGTAGAATCATGCAGTATTTGTCTTTCTGTGACTGGCTTATTTCACTTGGCATAAAGGCGTCAAGGTTCATCCATGTTATAGCGTATGTCAGGATTTTCTTCCTTATTCAGACTGAATAATCCATTGTCTGTATAGACATTTTGTTTACCCATTCATTCGTTAATGGATTTTGTTGGGTTGCTTCTACTTTTTGGCTATTGTGAATAATTGTCAAGGTTCATCCATGTTATAGCGTGTGTCAGGATTTTCTTCCTTATTCAGATTGAATAATATTCCATTGTCTGTATAGATATTTTGTTTACCCATTCATTCTTTAATGGATTTTGTTAGGTTGCTTCTACTTTTTGGCTATTGTGAATAATGCTGTTATGAATCTGAGTGTACATATAATCTATACGAGACCCTGCTTTCAATTCTTTTGGGTATATACCGGAAGTGAAAGTGGTAGATCATATAGTAATTATATGTCTAATTTTTTTAGGTACTGCCGTACTCTTTGCTCATTTTTGTTTTTCATAAAATAGTTTAGTCCTGAAATTGCATTTTATTTATTTATCTATCTATCTATCTCTCTCCCTTCTACCAGAGTGTGTGCTATTTTCCCCAAGCGTAGGACAGTGCTTAGGTCATAGTAAGTGCTCAGTGAGTACTTGTAGAAGGGAAAAAGGAAGGAAAGAAGAAAAGAGAGGAGGGAGATAGGAAAAATAAAAAAATCTTAAGAACTTTATTAAAAATACTTTATCATCTTTCCAGTCTCTTCTACATACAACTGAGTATGGCAACATCCATCATAGCTGCCTCAGGGATGGCTGCCTATCTGGTGTTATATGAGGTCAGGAATCTTGCTGAAAAAGTCAGCGTCACTCTGTGTCATTCTACCATGACATATCCCTATCCCGCTGTCTTGTTAGATCGTCAACGATTTAGTCCTCCACACTCAGAGGAGATTTCCTTGTGGGTAACATATACATTATGGCCAACCATGATCAACATGGGCTAGAATCTAGCACAAAAGAAAAGATAAAAGATGTATGAGGGATAAAACTGTTTACTTCTTCATTCTGCTGTATTACAGACTCAGCAGCTGATGGAAAGTTCTGCTACAGAATCTATCCTTGTCTTTGGCTTCTGGGACATGGTTTTCTCATTATTTAACTAAAGTTAACATTTGAATTGCTATCAAAATAATTGGTTTTATTTTATTTAAAAGGAATCAGTCAAGACCATAAAATACAAGAGAGTTACTCACTAGTCACCATGAGGGTGGAGCTCCCAAAGTAGGCCAGATAAGTCCATGTTGCTATAGTGGACTTTGGCAGCTGTGAAGTGTCAACAATTTCAGGATGAATACAGATCAAGAGATCTTTGAAATATGGACAAAACAACAGTTGGGACAAATATTATTAAAACACTCGATCTTCATGTGTGACCTTTGGAGCTTACTGGCTCTGCATCCTGGTAGCTCCCATGGCTCATTAAAGATTCTGAGGCCAGAAAAACAAAAATGACAATGTTTACTATCATTCGTAGTATCATATAATAGATGGGCAGATGGAGGCAGAGTGGGCATGTCTGGTAGCTGAGTCAGAGTCTTTGGAAGCATGAAATGAATGATGAATGAGTCATATATAAAGGAGCACTCATTCATTGATTCATTGATTCATTCATTCATTCAAGCTCTCACACACACACTTCTATGTCTATGTCCTTGCCCTTGAAGAGTTCACTCTCAAGCAGGACAGAAAGGACACCTAAATTGTGATAAGACAAATGCCTCATGGAATTAAAAGTTGTAATGGGAGCCCTGAGGAAAGATGAATACCTTCTTTATGGGGACCATGGAATGTAAAAATATACAAATGACATTTAGAAGAGTCACAGAAGAGAAAACATCTGAGCTGGTTCTGAAAGGAGGACAACATACATAAAGGTATATGATGTTCGGGGAGATGACTACATTGTCATTTCCCACTGGAGCTAGAAGCTGTACCATGGAAATCATTATAGTGCCAGAGATGACACACACCAGGAGTTAGTTTTGTTGCAGAAGACTTCCATTTTCTTGTTTAATTCTGACTAATATGCTTTTATAACTCCTACCCTTCCTACTCCAAAGAAGATTGGAGATGGTCATTCATTTCCATGGTTCCCTACTGAGTACTCATTTAAAGTACTTCGCAGTCTAGTTCAGGCAATTTCTACTCCTAACAAAACTACAGTGCATGAAATTGTGTAACTACACAGGTTATCTTCACTTGAACGATTAACATTAAACCTTAATGTTTAATTAAACATTAAGAACATAAAAGCTTCTGCTTTGCCTTATTTGGTGGTACATTCCATACTGCTCTGACTGCATGAGGTTGAATTGTCTTCCGGCATGAAAATATCCAGGGCTCAGGCACCATAATTATCTTAGAGACTGCTTGCTGTCCCAGTTGCCTTGGGCTGCCAGAAGAGAATACCATGGACTGGGCGGCTTTAACAATAAAAATTTACTTCTCACAGTTTGGAGGCTGGAAGTCCGAGCAAGGTGTGGGACAATTCAATTTCTGGTGAGAGCTCTCTTCCTGGCTTGTAGGTGGCTGCCTTCTAGCTGTGCCCTCACATGCCCTTTCTTTGTATGTGCTTGTGGAGGGAGGGAGGGAGAGAGGGAGGGAGGGAGGGAGAATGAGAGGGAATGAGTGAGCCCAGAAGTTCTCTGGTATTTCTTCTTATAAGACACTAATTCCAGCATGAGGACCCCATCCTCATGACTGCATCGAACCATATTACTTCCCCAAAGCCCCATTTCCAAAGACCATCACATTGGTGATCAGGGTTTAAACATTTGAAATCACTGGGGAAATATCATTTCTGCCTTTTCATATGTAGGACTTGTATTTGTACAGAAATACAAAATTGAATAAGCGAAACAGCTAAGGATGTATACTTCTTCAGGATTTCAAAAAAAATTTTTTAACTAGAGAGGGCCTAAGTGATGAGTGAGTACAGCTCCTCATTAGATAAGTGAGGGAACAGACAGAGACATGGGAAGCGATGTGATTGAACTTACACATCTAAGAGAAAGAGTCAGGCAGTGTTATTTGGAGAGAATTGTGTAGGGACAGAGTCAGAACTAGAACCCCCACTCTCTGACCCCACCACCACCACACTGTGCCCTGGTTTCAAAAGGGCTGGTAGAACAGACCATAGAGATTATCAGTACAGAGTAACAAGGAGGAGCCCACACAAGACGGGGGCCACTGATGAAGTTAAAGTAACGCCGTGCCCCATACACCTTCCCACCTAAAGTAGAGCCACTTTTCTTTG